AAAGAGTGTATACAGTAGTGAGGTAATTGACCTCTCTTATATTCTTAATTTTGATTGTTTCGGTAAAGTTTGCTCCTTGCAAATGAACATTTACTATAATTTTGTTAACAAAGAGATAACACTCAATTTTAGGGAGCAAGTAGTTCATCTTGCACCTCTTCTTCGCTATCATCTGATGAGGAAGTAGATGTTAGAGATTTAAAACCAATTAAGGAATATTTGTCAGATCGTAGAGAATTAGCACGTCAATTATTTAAATCTGTCAAAACTGAAAAGATACAAATGATGTTGCCTCAGACATTAAAGGTAAGGCTTTTCTTTGATATCGTGCATCGAATAAGCTGTTATCTTCTTTATCACATATATATGCAATAGAAACAGGTAATATTATATGATACATGTAGTCCATGTAAAATTGTTCATTTTAGAAAATGGATTTAGGACAGTTAGAAAAATGGTGTGCCAATGAATTAAGTGGTATGTCAAAGAGCCGTATATTATGTATTTTAAATGGAAAACCTATGTTAGAATCATCGGATACAAGTGAATCGGATGATTCAGGTATATGAATACATTAGAAATTTTAGTTATAGATTTCAGATCTTGCAGATGATAATTTAGGTATTTCATGTCAATTATTTCTACAACAATAGGACCCTCTTTGGAAATTATCTCAGATACAGAGGAATGGTTTACCGACGAAGATATGTCTAAGAAGGAAGAAAGTTCAAAAATGCTTAAAGGTAAAATAAAGAAGGAAAGGATTAAGCAAAAAGGAAAATCTCAATTTCATAAAAAGAACGACAACAAATCTATTCATAAAAAAGTTCCTGATACTACATATAAAAATTTACAATTTAAAAAGGAAGATGACATAGAGAAAGCTAAAGAAAAAGAAGGTGATAGTTTATTGGACTTGTTGGAATTAGAAATGCGTGCAAGGGCAATAAGAGCTTTAATAAGGAAAGAGGAAGATATAATACCGAATACTTCTAAATCTGTAGCAAGTAACGATACTTCGAATGAGAATGCAGTGACCAAGGCAGAGCAAGATGAAATAAAAGAAAAAGAAAATTGTAGAAGGCAGTTGGAAAGAATTATCAGTGCTCAACAGAATAGCACTGTCGAAGATGAAGACGTTGTGTTAGTTGTTCAACCAACTCCGACAATCGAGTTATTGTCTAGCGATAGCGAAGGAGAATCCCATAGTGGTGTACGCGTAAATAAAAAATTGCAAAATGAACGTGTTATGGAAGCCAAGGGCAATATTAATCATATCGAGAATAGAGATTTAAACGATGTACATACTGTTAATAACATAGAAAATTTAAAAGAGAATAAAATGACAAAAAATTCAACGGAAACGCATAAAGAGATAGATAGTACGCACAAAAATGAAGTTTTCAAACGTAATTATAGCAATAACGTGTCTCATAAGGATGGTCAATCAAAATCTGGCAGCAAGAGGCGAAAGACAAAGAAAAAGTCTCATATAAAGGAACAAACCAAAAGCATAATTTCCGAAGTAGATACACAGTGCACAAAATCATCTAACGTTAGTCAAACTACGAAAGACACAAAAAATATCGATTGTTTGTCGTCGAATTCAGAAATGAACGAAAAAGAGCCCGAAGATACCGTCAAATCGAAAATGGTAGACGATAGTTCATCGTCTAATAAACAAAGTTTGATCGAGGTATCAAGCATATCGAGTAAAGCAGGTTTAGACGAAGAAAAGTCCATTGATTTAGATGAAATAATCGATTTGGACGATTATTGCGACGACATGGATGATACAGAGAATAGCGAGAACGACAAAGATGATAAAATTGTAGAGAACAAGCAATGCAAGTTACAAATGGAAGTAGTAAATTCTCCTCAAAAATCGAATGGAACTGAAACTTGGGCGAGTCGTTATTATCAAACAGACGATGTTCAAAACGTAATAAAGGAATCGAAGATCCAATCGGAAATTCGTAAACGATTACGAGAACGTCAGAGACTTTCTAAACTTAGTACGTCTCCAAGTAAAAATTCTCCTTCGTTGTCCCCTGTAATAGAGACTGCTAGTAATAAAGTTACGGAGAAACATCCAATGGGCTCGGTCGATGAATATTTAGCCTTAAAGCACACTGCCGTTATAAGCCTCGGTACCCCAAATAGTAGCGATCTGACTTTGAAAGATAACGCAGCATCTACCAATACGCACACAAATACCAGTAGATTAATCGAATACGATCGTATATCCGATGAACATTACAAGAATCAGAAAATCGACAAAGAATTTAACGTAAGTGATAATGCAAATGAGACTGACATAAATGCTGCGAAAAATGAGAAGCTAGTTGGCGCGATTAACGTTATGAACTCGGTTTAATGTAACCTGTACACGGTGGACATAGTTACATTAATGATATTTATATTTAAACTAGTAAAAATAATTTAGTATCACGATCATTGGTTTCCAACCATTTCATACGAAATAGGTTTTATATAACATTTTTATTCTTCGAAGCGGAGACAAGTTACAAGCTGCTCTATAATTACAAGCCATAAATGAACGAGAAATAACCATAAAATAGAAGTAAATTAATTAGTATTTTTATTAATTAGTATTTAATTAATACTATTAGAGTTATATTAGAGACTATCAAGTAGATTTATATTGGATTAAATAGAATTCTAAAGGTATACATCAATTTCTCCAAAAGTATTTTACAATTTTAATAGTCTTTATGTAATAAACGTCTGTGAGTGGAATTCCATTATATCGATAAAGATGCATAATCCTTTAAAGTCTGTTATGTAATAAGTTACACAATAATGCGACATTATCGGTATTCCCAAACTCGTAGAAATTTATCGATGGCGGTAATGTTAAAAGCAATCCGTATTCGCGGATGGTATCCGTTCTATCGAGTAACTTTGATCCATTTTATTGCTTTGTAAATAGTGATTTTCAAATAAAACCGAAGACATAGGGAAAATTATAGTCCATACTTTCCACAGAATCTCGCATCGATAATTAAATAATTCTATGAATCGATGCTTTGCTTTAGTTTACCCTTCCACGATGATATTACTTAAAATTCTATTCCTAATAACTCGAGATACTCGAATTTATTAGTTTGTACTCCACGATTGGTTTCATAATGTTCCCTCGTTCATAATTTACGGTACGGAGAGTAGAGTGGAATAATTGACGTATGATTTATATTTGATCTGTTTCTTATAAGACGATTATACATTACTTAAGGATGATGTATGTCTCGCATACATACGTGTACGCCTCGCATACCTTTCCTTTCGAGTAGATTATGCTCTAATCATTGGTTTCGCTACTTTCGTTTCTCTGATTTTTATCGCTCTTAATCGCATAAAAGAGTTTCTCGTTTTTAACAAATATATTTATTTATAAATTCATACACGCGTGTTACCTGTTTCCCAATTTTTCGTAATCGTATACAATAAATCCATAACGAACCATTCGAAATTTATCAAGATTCATTCTTTGTTAAAAATGAAAAGAAAGAGAAAAAAGAGAAAAGGAAATGCAAGGAAGGAGTGGTCGCTTTTCCGCGAGAGGGAAAACGAAGAGGAAAGTGTTTTAGACAGCGTTTAGAGCGGAATAGTATTCCTTAGGATTCAGACGAGATGGAAATAGCGCGGAAGTAAAGATCGAAAGTTCAGTGGCCATGTGCGCACTTGTAACGCATAAGCGATCTCGTACGACCTAGGAAATGCATGGTCCGCTATCCGCGTAATCTCATTGATTCTGTGGGCGCGTGTACGAATGCCGCGGCTGAGGCATTACGACACCATGCACACATACCGACCGGAAAGATTTTTCAGAACCGCGACGGTCTTGGCACAAGGAACTTTCGATCGCGATGGGTGGTTCCGGTGCCGTGGAACTTGGAAAGTTTCTCCGCGACGATGCAAATAAGAGATACAAGAGGGCGGGAGGGAGACCGGTAACTTTGTACGGGAGCAGAAAAGCCGATGGTACTCTGCATCATGCGAGACAGATTGTTGACAAAGGTTCGAGTGGAATTTAAATGAGTATAATCTCGTGCCGCGTTGCGCAACACCAGGAATTTCTAGGTGGTCCACTTCCGATGAAAGTTACATTTACAATTCCGCGACATGGTGTACCAGTTAATACGACGATAAATTCAGACGTCGTCGCTGCGACGACTCTTCACGGGGATTTCCCGGATCGGGTACGCGTAATATGGAAGTAACGGGGCCATATAATTATACGCGTTTGTCTTCGCCGTGGAACGTTGTTTACACGTTCCTGTTTGTACTCCGTGATTACGGTGGTATTAATAGCAATGCGAGGATTAAATTCAGCGGAACATCGTTGCTCTGCAGTTGACGTAGTAATTTCGGCTGGAAAGGTTAAAAGCAATTTGACGCGTTTAAGTCGGAGATTCGGGAAATAGAGGAGTCGTTCGAATTTTCTCATTCGCGATAACGTTGATTAAACGTGTACAACGTTATTTTCCACGTGGCTCCTCTTTTCCCTCCCCGGAGGATTCGATAAAGTTTTATCAAGGAGAAACGCGGCTTAGGCGCTGGAAGTAATTTGTCGCACCCCTGTGAAATTACGGTTCAGTAATTACGACGAAGTTACGGTCTTATTTTAGTTACAGCTCTGTTTCTCCTTAGAATCGCGCTGCAAATTAGAGGAAAAGATGCTCGTTGACGTAACCGGTTAAACGTACTCCGCAAGCTTGTCAATTTCGCGAATCTTCCGGCCTGTCGAATCGCGTCCGATCGTGTCTCCGTTAATTTGCCTTTCTTTCTTTTCCGCCTGGCGACAAGGGAAAGGGGTGCGAGCAAGTGAAACGCAAACTGGAGGCCCGTAGGTGTCGACAGAGCCAATATTAACGTTAGGTTGACGATCATTTCTCGTGCAAACAAGCTCGTCTATCGACGAACGTGACGGATCGTATGGAACGCGGGATTCCATGCTCCCTTCGCGTTGCTGTCACGCGTTCTACGGCACCTTGGAATGCTACAAATTTTTTCCGATCCACGAGCAAAGGGACGGAAAACAAACGAATGGAATACAGAGTTGGGAACAGAGACGGTGGTGGGTGAAAAAAATCCGAGAAACTGCATATACGAACTGTTTCGCGAGCACCGTTGCAAGGGGTACTTTACACTTTCGGCTATTCCAATGTATAATAAATCTCCATTTCCCGCGGTAATATACGATTCCATTTTGCACGGTTTTGTTGACACATGCACCTACGCGTAGACACGGTTTACAGGTAGGTATAGCTGCGTGAAAAGTGAAGGGGAATATCAGAAATGCACGTGATGCATGGTGCATAATAGATGTTTCGTCATTTGCGAAAAAAAGGGAAACGAAGTCAGTAGGAAATAAAAGGTCCAAATATTTCTTAATACGTGTAGCAAAGTTGCTCTATTCGCATTCCTGTTGCGTTATTATATCGAGCAACGCAACACAATCGTTTGGCGATGATAATCGCGATAATAACCGCCTTCCCCGCATTTCTCTAGTACAAGCGAAAAAGTTGCATTGTTATTTTGATCGGTAACATTTTCTCTCGGACATCGCTTTCGAATTCGTTAACGCTCCTTCCACGTTCCCCTTACTTCGGTTCCCCGAGATTTACAACGAATCGTGGTTAAACGAACGCCGAACGTGTAATAAAATGGAGGAAAAAAAAAAGAGAAAAAGGAAATAACGAGCGTTACGCTCTAAGGAAAAGCTATCCTTCGCGGTCAGGAGATTTATGCGTGTAAAAAGCGAGTAAAGAGCAATCGCGTTAACGCACATTTTATGAACGCAACGGTTTTTGTCGTTGCCTTTTTCGCGGTGTACATAGAAGAAAATTATTCGCTCGGTGAGCATTAATGGAACCTGGTATCGTGTGAATTAAACGGCGAATCAGATCGCGATGTAAAAAGGAGCACGCACGGATGGTATGTAAAATCGGGCAAATGGCGGAAATAATAAGACGCGGTGATTGCACGATAACATTACGTGGCAATCGGTGCGTACAGTGGGAAATGCCTGACGCAACGCGCGGATTTTCACGTAGTGTATCGGAATAAAAAGTGGCGCGAACTCGCCGGCACCTCCTTATTCGTCCCCTTCGGAGTCTCTTTCTCTCTCGGCACAGAGCAGGCACAATAGAGATTGATGCAAGCGCCAAGTCACGATTCTTTAGATCGTGAAACGAAAAGGACGAAGAAGAAGGAAGAGAGGGAAAACGGAATAAGACACGTCGCTCCAGACCGCGTTGCGTAACGTCGCTAGACGCGTCTACTTCGAGCTGCAGCACGTTCTGATTTCTCGGAAACGCCTGGTGTTCAACGATTTCGCGCCAATTTCTGGGGAACGAGGAAGCCATAGAAATTGCTTGTCTGCGCCGTGCGAATAAATAATTGGGAATATTCTTACGTAGCCATTAGAGAGGGACTTGGACACGAAATTCGAAAAAGTAGGAAACGAAGGGGCAACGAACCATCGAGGGATCGATATTTATCGTTGGTCGCAGGATCGGGGAGCGTGATGCACGATGGAATCGGAAGTTCGTCGATCGGCGGTACCCGTATCGTTGGACTCGGTACATAATTTTAATTATGTAGCTCAAAATATTTATAATCTCGCGAATCGTAAAGTTTGGAATGATCGGGGGATTGCGTAAAGCATATCGGAAGCATTAGTCACAGTCAATGATAGCTTTCTAAAAGCTAGTTACGAGCAACCTTCTGTACTATTTTTCGAGGCTGTTAATATTTCACGGCGCGTTATATTGCCCGATTAACAGACGAAAGTACCAGATCAGGGGGGGAAATAATTGGATTCGGGCAAAGAAACGTTTACGTCACAATTGACGGAAACGTAACTCGCGATATGGCAATTGACATACTCGGGGATCAGAGTACGGGGAACGCGGTATCTCTTCATTGTCCCCCGTTGCACGCGAAAGCCATCCATATGCGCTTCGCGGCTGATCGAAGAAATCTCTTCTCCTCTTTCTCCTTCTCGCTAATGCGAACTTCCTAGGCCATTAAATATGATTACCTGGCTTGCGGCACGTTAAATAACGGGATTTACTAACCAACCGTCCGTGTGTCCCGTGTGTATGTACGCAAGCATCGGTTAGCGGGCTTTTAAAACTTGCCTGGTCGCAGCTAGATAAACCTAGCTAATGGTTATTGTATCTTAAAGGCTGGCTAAATATTACACGGTAACGAACCCTTGTTTCATCGCGGATTATAAACTGCCTATTTCAAAAGTCGACGCTCTAGTCTACGCCGCGATTCCTGGTATTTCGTTCGATGCAAAGCCAATGATGCACGATCCATCGTTCGTTTCGTGAATGGAAGGATAATTATCGGACTCGTGGTATCCGCTGTTTGTTTCTCTAAATCGAGCATAATTTCTTCGACGCGCGGTCCGCAATGCCGCGCAGATTACCCTGCCGATATAATTTAGCAGTGGATAGGCGAGCTCGTGAAACGCGATTGTGCCACATCGATGCAGTTTCCCTTGATCGTTGGACAAGGTCGATAGAACGGATATTCGCAGGGGGTATTCGTCAATGGGCCGAAATTGTCGTAAGCAGGTCTCCTCGTTCCTGGCGAATTCGCTGAACCAAGCAAACCGCAATCGCGTACTACGTACGTCACGCTTCTGTAATTTCGTGCCGCCTGCACACGTAACGAGTCCCGGTGTTGCACTTTCGACGTTCGCCGAAACCACTTTTTCCAGATTTTAAACTCCCCATGTACGTACGTTTTCCGGGGGTCACTTTCGGTTTCTGCTCGCCAACGAATTAGCGCGCGCGCGCTCGCGAGTAAAGGGAAAACGAACGTTGCACGCGGAAATGAAATCAGGCTAGACGCAGGAAAGGTTATTCGCTGCGCGATATATGTAGAATCATGATTTTAATTTTGTCCAAGCGGCGTCGACAGCCGTTCTTACGAGGCAAATATTCGCCGAGCTTCAGAGAGATATCTCGCGTGAATCGTGGAAAATTTATTAGCGAATCGAGCATCGAAGACGAAGGAACACGGAATAAAGGGGGTGTTCGCGGAACGAAGAATGAGAGAATGACGCGATGGAGGGGTGCGGTAAGGAAAAGGCGAAGATTGCTCGTGGAGAACGACGAACGTAAACGTCGTCGAACTTCGCAATATCGTTTTCCACGCTGTTCGACGTTTGTTTCGTTTTCCCTTTCTCGACTATTAATTTGCACGCCGTACTATTCGCGGTAATAACGACCGTTCGAACCATACGAGCCTTTTTCTCGCTGACACTTGGCTTACGATAGAACAGGTGTTGTACCTCGTAACGTAACGTTAATCGGTGAAAGTTCCGTCGCGATTCCTCCCGCTCGCGTAACCGTTAACACGGTTCTTTTCCTCTCGTGCAGTCTTATGTCTCCGAGGGTTACGTAATCGCTGTATTATGTATAAAAAAATATCGCTTTATTCGTTTATAAAAAACATATTTTACAATACAATTTGAGGTTCGGGATCACGGTGAATACAATATTGGTACATTCGACTGACGTCTACTACGAACGATGCGCTTGTTCGTCGATCACGGTTGTTTCGGGTTTGCAACAGTAAGCGTTTCGTGATCTCGGAATACCGGATTCACGAAATCTGCGACTATGTCTCGTAGCAATCGATGAACAAGACATACGTGGAAGGTCAAAGACTCGGGGGTGCTCCACGGAGTCGAAGACTTAGCCTCAGAAATGTTCGTAACCGCCTCCGTAACCGCCTCCGTAACCGCTCAGCTCGTGCCCACCTAAACCGCCCTCGAATCCTCCACCGTATCCACCTCCTAATCCGTGATCACTCACGACGAGGGGTACTGGCTCCTTCACGACCACGGGCACCTTAACAGGGTAGGGTACTGGTTTCGCTACCGTGTACGGCACCTTGATTGGTACCTTGACCGGCAGAGGCACCTTTATCGGCACCTTGACGGGCACCTTCACAGGGTAAGGTACCGGCTTCTCGACCGGGTAGGGCACAGGCTTTTCGACTGTAACTGGATAAGGTTGAGGCACGTGAACAGGATACGGCTTGTCGATCGGAACTTTGACCGGTACACTGACGGGGACAGGTACGGCTTTCGTGACCTCGACTGGATAAGGTTCGGGCACGTGGACGGTCTTTGTGACCGTGACTGCCTTGATGTGATCCGCGGTTACTTGTTCGCTGCCACCCAAACCGAGTCCCAGGCCGCCTCCTAGGCCTCCTCCCAAGCCTCCGTGACCGAAACCTCCTCCGAAACCTCCTCCCAAGCCATGGGTGCCCAGGCTAAGCTCCAGCCCGCGCTTCGTCTTCTCCTCCTTTGGCTTCACGTTCGACGTCGCGGTATTTTTCGCCTCCTCGGCTACGGCCGACAGTACCAGGCCGCAGAATAGTAAGATCTGAGAAGAATAAATTGTAGATCGTTAGTATAGCTTTAGAAGACGACGTTTCTCCTTTCGTTTCCGGCAACGATCTCGAGCCCGTCCAGTAAATCGGAATACTAGCCGTACGCGTCGTTACAGCTCGATAAGGGTAAAGACGCTGTACGAGCAATTACGTCGTATCCACGAGATATCCACGCATGGGACTCGTAATATAGGCCGTTTCGAGAACTTTCGAAGAGGAAAAAAGTTCACCGACTCGTGTAGCAAGCTTCGAACGATTTTTAACCAATTATTGCATCAAGAACGGCAACATGCTCGAATTTTCACCGGTTACGCCAGTTTCGTTTGCGTGGCTCGAAAGAGGGGAACGCAAGTGGCCGTCTTACTGGAGCTACTCACTTTCAGCTTCTCTGTGCTGTTCATGTTGGCCGACAGTGAGCACACTGGTACCTCGATGGTCTACCCTCGCTTTTATAGGGGACGCAACGGCCAGTCCGACGGGCAACTCGAGCGTGCCGATGAAATTGTTGCGGAGTAGGAAGTAAAGAGAAGGAAAGGAAGAGAACGACGCCATGGACGACGCTTTCCTCCGTCGGCTTTTGTCAGCCAACATTTAGCAAGTCGCTTCGCGTTTCGTTCAATTTCTTCCTTAATGCCGCGCGAGCTTTCAAAGCTTCTTCAGCCTTCGACAATACGGGGAATCCTTGGAGACGGTTCCGTTTCGATTTTTAATTTCCTCCGAGGCGACGATCATCCTCCTACGTTTTCATTGTCCGAAACAAATCGAACTTCCTCGTACGTACCGTGGACTCGGACGTGCCCGAAAACGAAAATGGCGATCGGCGCGAAACTTTCTCGTTACTTGCGTTTACGTTTCTCCACTCGGCGAGTTTTCAATTACAGGATGAACCATCGGAGAGCGAATCGGAGCAACTAATACGGATTCAACTACGGTGTCTCTTTTTAATCCGATTACTTCTCACAATACGTTCCTACATCTCTGTACCCGCATCGCCGAGAGCTTCATTAATATTAAGAGCTTAATTAAAGCGAGAAGCGAATTATTAGGACTTCTCGGAGGCATTCGAGTTACATCCTCCGTATCTTCGCACCTTTTTCATCCCGTACCCGGCTACGAAGGAACTTGCTCTCCTCCTGCAGGACATCACGCTTTATGCGCTCGCGCGCCTAACTTTAACCTACATTTCGTGGCGAACTTTTTGGTTTCGAGATAACACGTTTCTTACTTCGCGCGGCTCGTGTAGAATTCAGTTAGCGTGCTTCGATGATTTTCCCGGTAGAGAGTAACTACTCGAAAAGGAATATTTACGGCCATCCGTGGGCGGTGGTCGATTTCTAACGTCGAGGGATCGCTATAATAAAACGATCTGTATTCTCGAAGGAAAGGCCAACGAAATCGACTAGGTATCCGATCCGTTCGATACATCGATGCCGTTGCGATCCAACGTTATCCGCTGTTCATTCGCCGATGTGCTCCGAGCTAGCTGGCGCAACGATTTTTGGTTATCACTCGTAGCTCCCACGGGCGCAGTTAATTTTGGAATGACTTTGTACCTCGATCTCGCCTGTTCGAGAGCATTAGAATATCCCCGCGTATCCGTGGTTTATCAGGCTTATCGCCGGGAATAAATTTCCATATATCTGAATTTGAATCTCCATATTTGAATCTGAAAATATTGATTTGACTTCTAGCCTGCTAGCATGATGCGTTCGGACGGGCCTCGCGCCGATTCCATCGGGTCCGTTCGATCGAGTCGAATGAAAAGTGAGAGGAAGATGTTTGTCGATAGTTTCTGTCTCACCTTCCAGTCGGATTAAATTGTTTTCGATGAATTTATAGTGATTTGCCGTGGCCGCAATCTCCTCGGACTAGACAGCGATTTCCATACGGGAACGAAGTTCGCCGATAGCAGTTCGATAGCGTATCGCGTCATCGCGATCGTGAAAGCGGTCACTGGAGATGAAGTTGCCTGAAATTTACCGTGCCTCGTCCTTTCGGTATCCTGGCAAATAACCCGGTGGATAGGTATAAAGACCAGCGCGGATTGGCGCAACGACCTTACGCATTTTAATTAGGCGAAACGTCGCGTCGCTGGATTGGTAATTGCGCAAACCAGCGTGACGCGAATCTGTTTGTTCGGCGTTGCAGTTTCATTCATTGATTTCGATAATAACACGGATCGGTGCCACGGGCTGGTCAATTTTCCCGCGATCAATTGTTATTTCCACGTTGGGAATAATATGTTTCGCGCTGCCATTGCGCCGCATTTACCCCGTAATAATTAAAACGCGTGAAAGGTGCTAAGATTCGTGAAATACGCGATCGACCGTGTTTCTCTAGCCGTTCGAACAGCGTTCAATTCGTCTTGCGTCCCCGCGAATCAGGCAGCTTTGCCTACGTTTCTTTCTCTTTCTTTTTTTCCCCTTTCTTTCGCCAGTGTTCAATATTGGCAGAGCAATTCGAGACATTTCACGGCGAGGTAACGATCGATGATTTTCAGTTGCTCGAGCACGCGTACCCGTACGAGGATACGTACGTGTGTACATTGGGAAATGGTTTTCGATTAAATCGGTTCGAGAGAAATCTTTTATTTCGTTACTCGCGCGACTTTGCAGCATTACGTACACGGAACCTCGGCGAGCAGCACGGGATCGCATTACGTGTGGGATCTATTATACTCGCGTATGATTTTTGTCTACGCTATTTCTACAGTTCTTGCTTTCTAGTAATCCACGGCTATTTGTAATACTGCTATTACGTAAACGTCTGCATATCGCACCTACTTCCGGTCAATGATACGCCGCGAACATTTTTATCGGCGCCGCGATGATTTTTCTTCGCCCGCGAAAGCGAGCCTTGTTTCAACGGTGTTCCTTGCGGGAACAACGCCGTTTCTCCGACTATCCTTATTTTGCTTTAATTGTTTCGCGAGCCTTAACCCCCCCGATGCACCGTGGGACGCGAGCGCGGACCGCGTTCCAAGGAATCGAAGCCCTCGAACTTCGTATTCGGTTACGGAAATGCAGCCTAAAGAGTACGAAGTAAATCCTCGCGCAGTCGACGAGCGTGCAGCCAGACGGTAGGAACGGAATTTTCGCGAAGTCTGCATTTCTGCTTCACCGACCGCAAACGTAACCTTATGCAATAATCGGAAAGGCTTTCGAGTCGACCAGACCGTGGCTCTCATGAATATATGGATGGATGTTCTCGCTCAAGGTGTTTATCAAGCCGTTTTCTAGTTACGCCCTTTCCCTTTTTCGCCCTTTTCGCCACCTTCTCTCATCCTCTCCGAGCAAACATAATTCGCGCTCTAGAACCGTGTCTGCGCCGAAGGAACGCCGAAAGAGGCTTCGTCGCTTCCCTTTTCCCGTTTTCCTTTCACCCTCGCCTCCGTTTCTTCGCCGTTTCCACTCGACCGATAATTCTTCTCCGTCCGATCGATTTGTCAACGTTTTCGGTGAATGCTAACGAACGAGGTTTCGAGATCTTTGCTCCGCGCCAAGGGTCGTTCCCGTCGAAGATGGGATCGATTTTTCTTCGGTAATTTCTCGCTCTCCCGCTCGAGAACGATGATGAATATCCCGATATATATATATATTTTCCGTTCATTTCCAGGCGAGTTAATTTTAAAGACGAATTGCCATATCGGTTAACGGCGGATCCTTTCTACGCGCGATGGCTTCTAGCCTGCCCCGATACCCGTAACGAAAGTGGTTCTTGGTTAAATCGCGTCGAATTAATTTCGCAAACTCGATTAAAATATCGACTGGCCTGTCTCGAGTGAGAGTCACGTATAATGTCAAAGTACCTATGAAACGATTATAAAACTGGTCCTGTTGAAGAGTCTGTTTCTACCAGAGAAATATGATTATCGCCTGCGATAGCTTCGTTACTCGTTAGCAACACACACCGGCGGTATCGACGAAATAAAGGCACGCTTTTCACTCGGGTCCGATGTATCGATCGAATTATGCTGGCGACGCGTCGATCTTTGTTACACACGCGCCAAAGAGTGGCCTCCTCTCCGCGCGATTACCGTAATCGACCAGGATATCGTTTCTCTTTCTTTCTCTTTTCCTTCTTCTCCTCAAAATTAAGTCACCTGTTGCTGCTCGAGAGAAGTTCGAAACTCTCCGACACACTGACTCGTTTCTTCCTCGCTCGTTGCTAGATGGAAGGAAAGCGAGGGGGCAAAAGACGACGAGCGGCGTCGGAAAAGCGCAACGCGAAGATCGACGTGCGATGATGACGTTGGCGACAATGGTGTCGCTCACCGTGACGCCTAACAACTTCCTTCGCGTATCGCGTATCTATCTTTTTTAATTAACCAAGCATCGAGTCAATTAAATACATAACGCGCGCATGTCCGAGACAGGAGGAGAAAGTTTCGCGGCGAGTCGCGTCCCTTTTGTCAGGCGCGCCGTGTTTATGATATTTCCTCTTGTTTAATTAGCTCGTCGATAGAAATCGATGAAAAAATGCAACGCGAAAAGGCTTCTCGCAGAGAACGACGGGTGGATTTTCACCGGCTCGTTACGCGAGTTACCAAAAACTTTCTTGTCGCGGTGCATTTTTGATCGCGTAACGGCCAGGCGTATACGTTCCGCGACGTTTCACTGGCCGAGGCGAAGAAAGTACGCGCGGATGCGTAACCACGTATCGATCAACTTTATCCAGATATCGAACCTTTTAATTACGATCCTTTTATCGACTACGACTGGATTAAACGTTGTTTCGCCTGCCACGACGTCGCGTTTCTCGCGTCTCTGCCCGATTACGTAAAGCTCTTGCGCTTGTGCACCATTGCCACGGAGGAAGGCGCTTTGGCGTGTCGCGAAAGCTCGCTAGACGTTTAATTCCTCGCGGGATCACTCGGTGGATAAAATCGAAGAAGCAATTTATTTCGATGAAATTAGCTTTATCGAACGACCGAGAAAATTAAGCTCGTGACGTAACTGTTTCGTAACAGCGATATCGAACGCGGGGCACACACCTGGCCGAAAAGCTGACACGGAGGAAATCGAGCGAGAAAAATAATCTCTCTTTACGGAGAGTCTGTTACGGGGCGACCTTCCGGCTCTTCTTTTGCTCGACGCGGAGAGATGCAAAAGGTAAGCAGCGATATCGGGAACGAGCGATTACGCAACGCGTCGGGAGGCTGTATCGGAATTGCGTCCGGTACGGTTTCTACGTGGAGGAAGCATAGGAATCGGGGGAGAGCAGCGGCCGCCGTCGCTCTTTCCGAAGTGAAAGAAAAAGAAACAGCGAAGAAGACTGGTCGCTGCGATCATTGCACGCGAAATTATGGGCTCCTCCTCGGCGAGTGAACGGACAAGAGAGCGATTCGAAACGAAACGGTTCGAATGTTCGGGGGGGTGTGTTACGCGTGCGGCGGATCCGGGGATCCGGTAGTAATCAACCGACTGGTCGGTAGCCCGTGGGAAAACGGCTTAACGCCGAACGAACCAGCGAACGAACGATCTCCTTTGCACGGTGTGGTAGCACAATCGGTCCACTTTAATGTCGGCGGACGAGTAGGATTTTCCGGGGAGTGGGCCAGTAGCCACGGCGAAAGTGCCGGTATATATGCCAGTGATTGGCGCGATGTAGCTTCAGTGTGCACCTCCGAACGATACCATGAGCACTCCGCAGGTGAGCTCGCGGTCCCACCACGCAATTCACGCACTATACTTTTGTCGTACATTGTCCTAATACAAACGGACAAAAGGGATAGGGTGATTATGTAAGGGCGAGAAACGGAGAAAGTTCGTTCCTCTCTGGTCGAGAGCAGCTTTTTATTTTGCGATACGTGCGCGACTTGTCCGCGTGTAGAGTGACCGAGTCGTAGCCATAAGTCAGAGAGGGATCGTGATCACGGACATCGCGATAACGTTTCGCGTTCACGATAACGACTCGCATTAGCTTTATTGGCCCTAGTCTCGCACGGTGTTCCTTTCACCACGCACTTTCTCCCGTTGCATCGCGGTGCACTTAGACGCGTGATTTTTCGGGCAACGTAGAAATCACGTCCGACTAGAGGGAAACGCGGGAAAACGCACACCGAACGCGATATAAATCACCCGGTTTCGCACACACGACACGTTCGCACTCGTACAGTTAATCACGTTTCTACCTACAGAAGCTTATAGTACTCGCCTTAGTGGCGACAGCCCTTGCCGGTGATGCCAAGGAGTCGAGCGCCAAAGCTGCCGTCGAGACGAAAGAAAAGAGCAAACGAGGACTGGAGCTGAGCCTTGGAGGCGGCGGTGGGTTACACAGTTACGGCGGCGGCGGCGGCCTAGGACACGGTTTGAGCCTCGGTGGAGGCCTTGGCGGTGGCCATGGCGGAGGCCTTGGTCTCGGTGGAGGTCTCGGCGGAGGACTGGGTGGAGGATTCGGTGGCGGCGGAGGCGGAGGCGGAGGCGGAGGTGACGGAGGCCGTATAACCGGGATCACTATCCACAGAGAGAACCAAGTTCGCGTACCACAACCGTACACGGTCGAGAGAAACGTAGCCGTGCCAGTCCCAGTCCCGGTTAAAGTTCCCGTGGAACGGCCATATCCGGTACACATACCGAAACCTTACCCGGTCCCAGTAGAGAAAGCAGTCCCGGTGCCAGTGGAGAAACCGGTGCCAGTGCCGTACACCGTGCCCGTCAAGGTGCCCGTCTCGGTGCCCTACCCGGTTAGCGTGCCAGTAAAGATTCCAGTGGCGATCGAGAAGGAGGTTCCGTATCCGGTCAGTGTTCCCGTCGTCGTTAAGGAGTCCTATCCTGTTCTGGTTAGCGGTGGTCATGGCGGCGGCGGCGGCGGCGGTGGTTTCGGAGGTGGTTACGGAGGTGGTTACGGAGGTGGTTACGGAGGTGGTTCCGGAGGTGGCTTTGGCGGACACGAATTGTCCGGTGGCATTGGCTTGCATCATTGATAAGGATGAACCCCCTCGACACGGGCCTCCATCCGTACTCATATATTTGTATATAATGATTATATTTTTTTATGGAAAATAAATATTAAATTATTAAACGGTGTTTCTACCTGTCATGTCTGTTGGTTACAACCAATTACCCAGAGATCTCTGAATCGTCAAGGGTTACATATGGCGTTTACGCGTCGCGCAAGTAAAAGGGAACTGGAAGATACTTTTCACGAAAGGAAATACAGCGAAAGGGAACTTTGCGTTAAAAACGCTTCGCCGTTTATTTCCTTCCTCGCTCGGAGCTTCTGGTCCGTTTCAATTTCAAGCGCAGATGTCGACACGCGATACATTTTTCTCGCGCCGCGGGTCGATAAAGATTTTTTAAATTCTATTTACCCGCGTCGCCGGTAGAAGAGTACCGAGCAATTCCCCGTCAGCTATTCTCCATTTAATGCGCATTGCCGTGGAAAATCGACACGGTATGCGCGTTATAAATTAAATTATGATTCTTATATCTCTCTCCCCGGAATACCTTTCGCCTCCCTTGGGACGTTTGTATTTCTTAGGTATCGTCGCTCCATGGCGCAGAATGATTGAAATTTCATTCGAATGCCGCTCTATTTCCGCTCGAACTCTTATGCTTCCCGACAATGAATGCTTCCTCTTTGCAGAATATTTAATTAATTCTAGGACCTTCGCTCATAACTGCCGCTGTTTATTTTCGGAACCCTCGTTATATTCGTTACGCGATACAACAATTTCGTAATTAATTCCGTGTATACTCTGGCGATTTTTGAAACGCTTTTGTTTCCATCGACAGTCTGTACCATTAACATTTCGTTATTCGCGTTTAAGCAGTGCAAAATTTTGCGCGTACAAGTAACATCTAGAAATAACATTCATTAACGAAACTAACAAAACGTATTGCGTTACGAGTAACGAATGCCGTACACGAGTCGCTGGTCGTTACAAAATCGCCGGTTACTAATTAGTGGCAGGATACGCACAGACTGTTTTATTAATTGCGTACGTATTACGATTTCCATTAACGTCGAGCAGCAAAAAATGCGGGAATGTGCACCGACTGAATCAAGTTCGGCGCAGGGACGGGCGAACAAAACGTTTCGTCGCGTGGAAATCGAATTTCCTTCGTCCTCTGCGTATATTTCTGTCCCGCCGACGTCGCGCCGCGCCGCCCCGTTCCTTTTACTTTCTTCGTCATGTCTGAAACGCGTCATATTTTAAGACCAGAATAAAGGAAAAGTTCGTGGGACGGTATTGCCGCAGACGAAACACGCAATCGCGACACATGGGCGTCGCGACGTCTCGTCACTTTAGCCACGTCGTCGTCGCCGCGAACATCCGGTACTTTAAACGGCGCGATTTGCCTTTACGGTTCGTTAGTCGCGTACACTTTCGCATCTGGCGCGCGGGAAACAGCGATTTCTCGATACACGGCTAACGAGAAACTTGTCTTAGGTGAAGGAGAAATTGTGGTCCCGACGCGAACGAACATCGGACGGGAAGCGAAGGAGCAACGACGGGGCAACGATGGAGCAACGGACGAGCAACGAGCCAGCCGTGGGCCACGCGCACCGGAAGCAAGGTAAAGGTCAGACAATTTTTCTTCCGCTTTCTGTGTACGGTTTCTATGTCCCGTTGTTCGGACGGCGCCTTAACGATGTTTCTTGGTAATCTTGTTTCTAACCTTTTGTTAAGCAATCTATATAGTTACGTACATATGTACGCCGTGTGTACACGCGCCGGGTCTTTCTCCTTTTGCTCTCTTTCTCCCTCCCACTCCCGCTCTCTTTCTCTTTTTTCTCATTTGCGTTCGTTTTTTACCTATCGGTCAATATTCGCGGAAACGGTTTCACAAACACGCAAACACACCAAAGTGGCGGTGGGGTCTTGGCGCAAAAACATCGTTATCGTTTTGTAATTTGCGTTGTCCGCGTCGAATGTTTCGCAAAGTGAAAGTACCATTTATATGGATCGATCCGTCGCGCGAATGTTTCCACAAATCACACCGCGTATACGCGCCATCAACGTTTACTTTCGTCATTTTCTTCTTTTTTCGTCCCCTGTACCTCTCTCCCTTTCTCTCTCGGCTATCCAAGATTCGCGAGCATTTTAAACGGTTTAACGCAAATTTATTCGCGATTGCGTCCAAGCCACGAGCTCGTGGAAGACGATCATCGACGTTTCCCTGTTGATTACGATCGTTCGGAGCGGAGAGAAATCGTAAGGTCTCTCTTTCCGTCGCGAAACTAGCCGTTCCGTAGGAGCTTGTGCAACCTGGCCGACAATTTTCCACGCCGCGGCGGCAGAAATAAACGGAGAAGCGGATGCTGTAATCTCGCTTCGGCCAAAGCTGTACAAGATTCCAGGCCGAGATGCATTTTGCGTCCGAGTACGCCGCCTCGACCTCCGTTTCGTCTAATCCTATAAAACTCGAAATCCTTTTGATCTCGCAATGACGTTTCGTTATAACGACCATTTTAATGCGACTCTCGTGAAAGAGATTACCTCATCTCGTAGTCGATCTTGCCGCGAACTTACGTTTAAAAACGGAATACCGGCGGAATAAGTTTTCTCCCTGATGTTTGCCATCCTTTATCCCATTGCGTTTAAAAATAATTATGTTTAAATAACGCGAACGTTAAAGTGATTTCGCCGTTGCTTTTGATACCCCCGTCCCGCTTTACGCCGTGCCAGTCGTTCGAAGCGTTTTCGGACGGCCAAGAGCGCGAACGCGAATCGCGACCTCCGAGCCTCCATCGAGGACAAGGTAATTAGGTGGTACAGTTATGCGAACCGCCGCGATTTAATTAGCCGCGTAATCGCGATCCTATGTCTCGTTAAAGATCTACGATCCTACCTAGACCGCGCGTTCTCTCTTTCGTCCGATTTTAATCTTCCTCGCGACTGATCCGATCTCGTCTCCTCTCCTCCTGTTTCCTCCAGCGAGTTTCGCGACTCGCCTACGTAACGCCTTTACGCATAGCCGTAAATCAAGGAGGCGGTATCCTTTGGAACTTGGTCGGGTTCTCGCGATACGCGGAAAATCTTGAACTCCGCCTTGCTCGGTTACACGATCCATTCAACGATTACGGTACACGCGAAAAATCGTAAATTCGTACGATATGGATAAATCGTAGGGAACGATCGAGCGATTACGCGATACTGGCGCGAAATTACCGTTCCGCTGCTCCTTATCGCCGCGATAATTCCGTTTTTACCGCGTTGTTTCACCGTCGTAACAGCCACGTTTTATCTGCGATCTGAAAAATGAGCCGCCTCCCGGACAGACGGGTAATCGTCGGTGCATAAACCGAGCGCACGCGAGAAACTCGACCAGCCGTGCCGCGGAGATGGAACGTGTCGTGGCCATACGTAACAGCACGCGTGGTCCGCGCGAGATTCGTCTCGCCCTCGCGCCTCTCGCGCTGACATTCTTAGCGATACGTAAATATCCAGAGACTTTCTCGAAGAACCGCGACCTCGTCTCTCACCGCGAGTAGTTTCTCCGACGAGAATCTCGACGCGTCGTTTCGTCTGGTTCTCGAATTAGCGAACGAGGTCCCTCGACCGCGAACGCCTCGCTGCGCCGCGGCGCTGGTCTACGCTTGAAAGTCACCCAACGCCGATGGTCGTTCTTCTTCTTTTCGGCCGACACGCGAACGCTCGCCGCGAAATTTCGCGCTAGAACCTCCACTTCCATCCGTTCCTCGTTTCGCAACCGCGGCGAAAGAGAAAGGTGGGGAAAAGGAGCATAAAAAGAGCAAAAAAGATGGAGGAAACGAAGGAACAGAGGCGAAAGGAACGTTAAGGACCGATCGTTTTGGAATGAAAATCGCGCGTTCGATCTCACGCCTCTTCCCCCTTTCTATTCTTCCTCCTTTCTTGCCAGTAACGAGCTCGGCGGAAACCAGCCTTAAGCCCGGGTTACCATAAACGAGTCTGTTTACGTAACTATAATAGAGCAATTATCGCGAGGCCGACGTTCCTTCCACCAGCTGTTCGATCTTCTATCCTCCTTTTTCCATTCCTTACTCGCCCTTCCGACTCGTCACTCGCCCCGTTTGTCGTCCTTCTCGTCCTTCGTTCCTTCGAGGTACTCCTCTAATGGCAGTTCGACGAACGACGTCTCGCGATACCTTCCCTCCACGAGCAAGCTCGTAATTTTTCCACGGAGAGCAATAAAAAGCGCCGGAAGTCGCGCAATTTCTCCGGAAATAGTTTTCGCAACGACGCCGGGCGCTGGTCACCGGATCTCCTACGTCGCTCGTACTTGGATGGCGCTCCGTCCGCGTTCCGTGTATCTGGGATCTATGAGCTCGAGGTTTAGTGCAAACGTAAATCATATATTAAGCCCGCTTCATACCGAGGCTCGTGTTAACGGACGCGTTATGTCCGATCGGCCAGATTTCACCTGGCCGTGCTACAGCTGCTGCGTGGGCCGCTGATATCTCGAGACATTGTCCTCGTGGATCGATAATTCACCAGGAATTTAGGGATCTTCCGCCAATGTCAACGTAATCGCACGCGTGTTTCGTTTTAAGCCTGTCGGGCTTTCTCGACGTCTTTTCTCGGAGACGTAAGAAATTTCGTACACGCGTTACGCGATTTTGCCAAGAGCGGCCGCGGTAGTTACGCCCGAGCCAAAGTACAGGATCATGTAGACGCGTGGAGCGGTATTAGCGGCTAACAGGATCCCGCGGTGGCACAAGAACATTTGTATTCCGGCGATATTGTTTCGGGAATTCGAAATAAAGCCCACGATTTGCGAGGGACCACTTTGCTTTTAGCGTTCGTAATGGTAGAAGGAGTAGCCGGGGCTGCGGATAATTTGTCCGCGAATGGAATTAACGCCGTTAGGAACGTTAATAACACGCGTGATTCCGAGTCGCTAATTAAAAGATTTACGCGATAATGCAGCGGTCGGCCGAGAGCCAGCTCGCGAAATAGTTTTCCAAATGCGATTCGCTTATTATACGCGGTTAATG